TCATGATCGATCTACCTCTAATCCGATCTTTTACAGTTCTACAATTACCTTGTAATAAAAAAAAGAAACACTTTTAAGTAATGTAAATCATCACAGTTTAGAAGGCATGGGGTTCGAGGCTGCGATTTCCGCATACATTTTGGCTATTGCTTCTGCAAAGTAAGCTTTTGCTTGAGGTCTCTTTATCTGTTTGAAAAGTTTTAAACACATGAATTAGACTCTCCAAGGTAAGTAACAAAAATTTCATTGCGGTTTCAACTTCACATTGTTGGTGGTTACCTTGAATGTTGGTGTCAAAAGTCCATTCTCTAAGGTGAATGGTTCTGGCACCAAAGTCACAGCCTTAGCAAACTCAAATCCTCTCAACTGTATTAAGCACAAATTGTAAATTGTTAAGTTGATTGCTTTTATTATCATAGGTTAGATTTTTAAGGCAGGTTTTGTTTTACCTGAGCTTCTTTTCCAAGGTCATCCATCTCAGCAAGAACAGCCTTTCGCACTCTTGGATCGTTACAGAGCTGTCCTAGATGCTCATACTGCAATCATCAAGAAAAGGTTGCAACAAACTGAGAATTTGCTTTTCAAGTCTCTGATAAGTAATGATATCATTGAGTTAGAAAATAATAAATACCTTGATGCCTTCTGATGCAGCCCAATCTTTCATAACATCTGGGTCTACTGAAACTATAGCTACTAGAGAGGAATTGAAGCTATCACCTATAATAGAGACATTCTCGCTCGGTTGAGAAATAGCACAAATGAAGAAGAAGCCTGTATGGGGTGAGTAGAGACTAGAGAGTAGAGTCTTTCGCTTACCGTGTATGAAACACTGCGAAACAAATCTGCATTTGGTATAAACATTTTCGATTTTCTCTGGTGCTATATATTCTCCTTGCGCCAATTTAAATATGTTCTTCTTCCTGTCATGAAGTTTTATTAAACATTTCAACTCTTTCCATACCGAAGAAAGAGTTTAAAATCAAGATTGTTTGATTTATAAAACCTGTCTATGATCTTGAGCCGACCGCCAGGTAACCACAACCCGATATCTCCTGTGTGTAGCCAGCCATCTCCATCAAGAATTTCTCTCCTGCTCAAGTAAATGTGTCAAGACTCATGTCCACTTATCTACACATATAACCAGAGCCACTAATGATACTGGAAAATGTGTTACGTTTGTTCTTCATCTTTGTAGTAGCCTTTGAAGATGATTGGTCCTCTTACACAGATTTCCCCACGTGGGTATGGTTGATCATCTGATGTGTAATTCATTTCGGGAACATCCACAAGTTTTACCTCTGAAGAACAAATATTTTCAAAACACAAAACCAGTCATACATATTGGATTAAAAGGTCTTGCCAAGATTTAGATTCTGATATAATTTTCCTATTTTTTTTAAATAACACAATGCTTACCACACGCTGGATTAGGGGATCCGACATGACCAGATAAATTGTCACCATCATCCATAGCGCTTATGACACAAGAAGTCTCTGTCATACCATACCCTTCACGCACCGAACATCCAAAGCATCTGTACATTATGATGACCAATGACGATATTTTCTTTCTTAGTTTAGTTTCAGATTCTTAGAAATCAGTGAGAGTGGAATCATGGAAGAAAAGCTCAAACAGAGAAAACCGAAAAGAAAACTTACACTCTCAAGAAATCCATGACATCGGGTGACAATGGAGAAGCACCTGACCCCATAAAGCGAACCCGTCCTCCAAGCTTTTCTTTTATTTTGTTGAAGACCAGTTTGTCCCAAAATGCAGAAGGATTCCGTCCTGAAGAAACCACACATGAGAAAGACAGATATAATGCAGAAAACTTGAAACAGGCATATATACTTGGTTCACTTTTTAACTGTTTTTATTAGCAGACAATACCATTTATGATCGCTTGCTTCTTTGAGTTATAGGCAACTTGAAACAGCCTTTGTTTAATAACCCCAGATGATTTTACGGCACTTGTGATTCTGTGGAGATTAAAATTAGCACATAGAACCACAGAGTTCCACAATAAGTAATTTACATGGGAAGCATAAGAGTGATTTTACCCATCATATATTCGATTATATAAGCGGGGGACACTACAGAATATTGTTGGCCTTAACACAGCAAAATCATCCATCAGCTTCAGGACATCCTGTCAAAAAAGTATATGTATACATTAGTCTGATTTTGTACCACATGTTAATCTCATATGTCACCAGACATGAGCTTACATACCCCCTGATAGAAACCAACAGTAACACCACCGTACACCGCCATAATCTGATTTGCACGTTCATATATGTGCGCCAAAGGAAGATATGATATGTAACTAAAGATAGAAGACATCTGAGTTAAAGATCTTCCATTATAAGAATATATGTAAAACTATGTGTGCCACTTCTGAAGGGAAATGTTCAACTCACGTATCTGAAGGTAAGAATTCTGCTTCTACACTGGAACCGGCAACATTTGCAATCAAGTTTCCATGAGTCAACACAACACCCTTCGAAACAAAGAACATATGAAATCAACTATATAGTTGAGCATTTAGCTTTAAAGTGATTCATGCACCATTCAACCAGAAAAAACTGGAAACAACTCACCTTTGGTGTTCCTGTGGTTCCACTTGTGTAGCATATGGTTGCAATGTCTTCGGGTTTTGGAGGGGAAAATGGATGTAAGGTACTTCGACCCTAAAATATAACCAGTAGCAACATGAAGTCACTTTTAACTACCAAGCAAAAGCCGTTACAGGAACAAAGACATTTACAGTTGCTATAACATAATGACCATTCATAAGATAACAGCACACATTTAGTTAAAACCGATTGTTGAACGCTACCTGACTCAAAAGCTTTTGGTATGATACAATATTGACTCCAGATCCTTGAGGAAGTGATGGCAAATGCTCGTCCGCCCCTCCCACCACCTTAGCACAGTGTAAAACATATTTATAGTGGAAGTATATATTTTAGCTTACAGTGAAATTACACATCGGAGAAGTATATACCACAATGAGACGAATGGATGGGATTTCCGCTAGGAAGCTTAGCAACTGCATAGTCCCCGACAAAAAAAGAACACAATTCATGATCGATAGTGTTGCAATATAGACTACTTGAGTGATTCTCAAAAGCTAATAGGCCTGCACATTAACAAACCAAAACACACTTACAATATTCAAGGTTTGTGGTACACAAAATATAGCCTGCAGAGTAGCATGATTCACCACGAACTTAACAGCGTCTGGACCTGCGTAACCAGAAGAATCATATTAAGAAGAGACAAGGCTTGCAAACCCAAAAACTAAAGAGAAAAATTCAAATTTGGATTGGTTACCAAGTGTATCGTATAAAGGAACAGAGATAAATGAATATGCTGCACAAGCATGATCCACAACCAACCACTCTGGTCTGTTAATAAAATAGAGTCCAACACAAGCTCCCTGTTCCATTAAATCAAAACTCTTTTTCTTTTTTAAAAAGGCGACATACGGATCGATAAAACAAGAACCTGGCTGATAAAATCAGCTGGAATAGAGAATTTTGATGGAGCTGCATAAGTTTTATATTGAACACATTCACTTACTTGGTTAATTCCATGAAACAGGAGTCCTGAACCAATAGCTTGTCGTTCAGAAGCTGTTTCTGCATATGTCATCCATGAGTACCTTCAAAAAAAGCATATCACAGAAACATAAAAACCTACCTAAGCTCAAAACTTTTTTAAAATCTCAACACAAAAGAACAGCTTTTAAACTCACTCTCCAATGGTTCCATCGGACCGAACTCGTGTACCAAGATACTTGTTTTCAGGATACGTTTCAACAGCATATCTAATTCCACATAAATGTAATTCCATCATTAAGGTCACAAACTAAACCAATCAAATTAAAACAACCTCAAAGAAGTAATCATCAAACTTACACAAAATTGTCATGTAAAGTCCCGATTTCAGGATGATCCTGGAACCTGCTAACGAGTTTCGTCGGCGACTTTGCAGATCTGACACAACAAAAACAGAGAATTACACCATAATAATCATAAATCACACTTGTGATGAAAAAACCAAACGTAACAACAAAGAAAGGATTGTTTTTTTTTTTTCTGTACCTGTAGACATTCCATTTTCCATTATCAGGCTTCTCTGGAAGCACAACACTGTAGCCATCCTCTAGAGAAAACATTTGAAAGCTCTCAAACTCAAGAAACAGAGAAATCTTCAAAATATAGGGAGAGACTAAAGATAAATTCAGGTTCTTACTGTTTAAGAAAGGTGAAGCAGAAGAAGCGGTGGCGTTGAGGAAGAGAGATGATTGATCGTCGGCCGGAGAAGTATAGAGGTGAGATCGAATGGTTTCGAGACGACGTTGTGCCGGCGAAGCAAATTTCATCTTTTCTTCTTTCTCGACAAATTTTTTTTTGAGTAATACGAAATAAACCGATTATTCAATAGTACCATTCTATAAAAAATTTAACTCAAAGAAAATGACGTCACAAATCTACTATATATAGTAATAAAATTATAAAAGGAATAAAATCATCGAATATGAAAATGAGCATATGTGAATTTTGTGGAATTGACTTGTAATGATGATGCTACGGCTATAAATTCCCTGAACCACATATTTTGGATAGACGTTAATCATGTTTTCCATTTTAAATTTTTTATAAACAGCTTACCAAAAATAGATCATTGTATAATATATGTACTTTTTCTCACATATTGCTTACGTCAAATAAGGCACGCTTTTCTATGTGGATAATTTACCATATTATCAATAAAACTATTTATTTGATCCTTATCAAAATAATGTCCATGGAGTTTAAAACTTAAAAACCATGTTGGGTTATTAAAGAAAAAGTAAAGAGACTATACTGTTTTGTTTGGCATTGTTAGAAGCAAGAACATGAATCTTGAAGCAAACATGTAAATTGGTTATGCTGATGAAGTTCCCAGTTACGTTTGGCTGCAACACAGAAGATGAACCAAATTCTCAAAAAACCAGCCAAACGGAAACGTCTCCATATAACAGAAGAGAATACATTGTATCAACTCTCTCATTCATAGAATCTGCATTTTAGCTACAGAAACTGACTTTTGGGTTGATTCCGATTAAATTCGAGAGCATAGAAGGAACAGAACTTTTTACGAGTACAAAGATATACTCATCATGATGTAATAGCATACAAAGATATACAGTGTACCCTTTGGTGACATTTCTGATACCAAACATTTAAACAGTATAATATTGCAGAGAGGATATCATCTTCACATTGATTTCATGAACCTGTTAATGGATGAGAAAATTCCAGCAGCTTGACTCAATAAAGATGGCCCTTCTTCTGATTTCTCTTCTACGCCCCCATATATTATCTGCGAAAATGAAACATTTAATCAACGAAACTGCAGCGAATATGTAACTAGGATTTGCAGCCAAATCTTTTCAGTGCAGGTAAGAATTTTTCACTCAATAAACATAGTAACCAAATCTAGTACTCAGTTAACCTCAAGATCCTCAGCATCAGGCCGACCAATGAGTTCCTTGGCGAGTAGATACCGCCCTGGTCTGTCTTTATTATCATAGAAGACTTTCCATTTACTAGAAAATAAATTAAGGATAGAAAATGATCAGCTTGTAATCGTTAAACTACATCTACATTGACTTAATCAGATAAGAAAAACCAAGTCTGAGTCTTACCCAGGATAACACCTGAAAACAGCACCAGCAGCCAGAGGTCTCATAGAGTAAACCGTAGTGAAAGAACTACAAGAGCCAAAATGAAAAGAACAGTTATTGATGTTAAAGGCAATAACCTTGTCAAGTCTCATTAAGGATTTTTCCGCTTACCTTAGGAAGTACCGCCTTAGTTTTCTCACGTTAAACCCAACCCCGACTTCCTCGCTTATAAGACGAGGGTTCCACATAATGAGAGGCCTTGGCTTGAAAGAACAGAAATAAATGTCTTCTTGATGTTAGAACTAAAGGTTCTTGGTAAAGTCAAAATTAAGATTTGACAGATTTAGTTACCGGGTCATCAGCAAGCCCTTTTGCAATTTTCTCAACATATTCCAGCATTTGGTAGTCAGGAACAACCATGACAATGATCTCATCTTCTTTCTCCACTGGTTTCCTGTCACTTAAGCTGCATCACAACAAAGAACATGACTGCATATTATTCCCTCTTAACAGACTCTTTCGAACGAAAAACTATTAAGCTCTCAAGCTGTAGCCAACTTACCTAGCAAATCCAAACGTTGCATCTTTCCACCGGTATTTTAGCAATGCAGCAGCTCCAGCATCTGGAAATACGGCTTTAACTCTCTGGCAACAACATTTCAAAACCACTATGATTTATTGACTGACTCAGATCAAAGGTTTCATGTAAAGAGGTTGTTTCGCAAACTGTTTCAGCTCACCTCACAACCTGTTTCTTTAATGAGAGTATCCAAGAAAACCCGCGAAAGGTCCCAAAGTTCAGCTTGTGCACCTTCATCATCTAAAAACTGCAGCTGGGGAATTAAAAGCTCCACCTACAAGATTTCAGAGTCAGAATCAAGTGAGTGAAGCTAACACCAAATCTCATTCTTTTTCGCCAACAATGATTACAGATTTATTCACTAGCACTTACGATAGCTCTTGTTCCTCCTGAGTTCACAAACGCAGCACCTGCTTCACCTGATTGCCTAACAGCTCCTTCCAAATCATTAGGCAAACAGCTGAAAAAACAGTAACAACAGAGACATCATTTTTAGCCTTATGCTCCCTTAATGTTCCAATAGACACACAAAAATTGCAACTTTGAATCGAATTCAATGGTTGTTCCTTCATAATGATCACAAAAACAGAAGAAAACCCAATTCACAGAACAAAAAGTGTAATCAAATAAAGAAAACAAATGGACAAAATTACTGAACTCATCGTCTTCTAGTTGGTCTTGAGCTTCTTCTTCTAATGGTAGTTCTTGGGAAACAGAGGAAGTAGAAACTGATGTGGTTGGTTCAAGAGGAGAGTCACCCTGAAACTTGTCGAATTTGACACATGTTCTTATTCTCGAAGTGGGAGAAGCAGAGAAGCCGCAAGAGAGAGAACCCGCATAAAATTGGGTGGTGGAGAACGAACAACGATGGAGATAGCCATGGAAACAGCTTGGTACTGAAGAATAAGCCATGATGCAAGCCTTTGGCAAATCCTGATAATCGAAATTCAATAAAATTAAAGTGGACTTTACTCAAACAATTGGAACAGAGGGGTGTTTAATGTTACATTCTTATATTTGGGGTTCTTTTACGAATATACTAAATATTTAGGGGTTTTTCTTAATTTATGAAAACTTTTATCCCTTCTCTGTTGGTGGAAAAGAGAGCGTTTGAAACTTCAAGTGAAAAAGGAAGGATCCGTTTCGGAAACCTGGATCCGGATCCGGATCCGGATTCTGACGCTCCTCTTTGGTGAGGAAGAATGGTAATAAAATATAGACGTTACAAAGGTTCTTTAGATCCAACGGCTCTTATTCTCCTAAATTCAAATTCGTCCCATTTCACCTACACGCCCTTCTCAATCTCTCTTTCCCTCACTCTTTCTCAATCTCAATCTCTCGCTCTCTCTTGTCCTCTAAATCTCTCGCTCTCTTTGATTCAAAATTTAGGGTTCTCGTTCTTTAGCGCAAATCCGCCATGGAAGGAGGTACTATACTTGTTTTCTATCGTCGAACTTCTGATTATATTCTTACAGATTCGTGATTTTCTTGATTGATCTGGGTTTTTGATTTGTTTCTTTTGAATATTTCGCTGATCATCTTCGGGTTTTTTCCAGATCAACATCAAAATATCTGCAACGATGTTGTTTTGTCATGTGAATCCAAGGAAGTTTCTGTCAACAATCACAATTCCGACGCTGGTAAGGATTTATCTTGGATCTTCTCGTCGTGAATTGAGAATTTAGTAGAGAAATTATAAGTCGTTCGGTTGTGAATTGATAGTCTCTGATTGTAGATATCGCAAACCCTTATTTTTCTCAAGAGAATCCGATTAGGTTTTAGCATTTTGTTTGGAACTCAGAAAGATTGGGTCTCCTTCAATTCTCAACGAATTAGGTTTTGGGTCCTATGAATCTGAACTAAAGTGATACTTGTTTAGTAGACTATAGTATCTATCTTGAGATTGAATTGCTTCTTTGACTCTGATATGATGCATTACTGATTTGGCTGAAATAGTGGAAGAAAGTGAGGATTCTATTACAAGTGGAAACCAACAACTTTCTCCTCCCAGTGGACCAACACTTCCAATTTTGCAGAAAATTATCGACTGCAGTAACAAAATTAAGGTACTACTTTCTCTTGAATAAACACAATTACAATTGTTCCTTTTGAATTCGCAATTGTAAGATGAACTTAGATGTGAATTTTCCAAAGATTTGCTTTCAGTCCCTTCCTTCTACCAGTGTTTTATGTTCACCCTTTTCATATCATGTCGTAGGTCTTGAAGGATGACCACGCGTTGGTATCAAACCAAGTGAAAGAGATCAAGAATTGTTCCTTTGTAGAACCAGAATTTTCAAGGGCTCTCCAGCTTCTCAGTCAGTACTTTGAATCTGATTTCTTCGACAAAGATTGTCTAAATACAAAACTTGTTTGTTTTGGTTGTAACTGATATGCGTCAACGTGTTTAATGGCAGCTACTAAGCTTGGAACTCTGGAAAAACAGTACTTGGAAGAGTCATCAGAGAGGAAACGATTATACAATGAAGTGATCGAACTCAAGGGAAATATCAGGGTCTTTTGCAGATGCAGGCCTCTAAACCAAGCTGAAATAGCAAATGGCTTTGCTTCTGTAGCTGAGTTTGAGCCAACACAGGAAAACGAGCTCCAGATACTTTCATCTGATTCCTCCAAGAAGCATTTTAAGTTTGACCATGTTTTTAAGCCTGAAGATGGCCAAGGTAAATCTTTGCAACTTTATTTGTCTTAACCTTTTCTCTTGGAACACTACACCAACGAGTCATCTAATCTGACTGTACTTTCATTTGCAGAGGCTGTTTTTGCACAGACAAAACCTATAGTTACTTCGGTGCTGGATGGGTATAATGTCTGCATATTTGCCTATGGCCAAACTGGAACTGGCAAGACATTTACCATGGAGGGAACACCAGAGAATAGAGGAGTGAACTATAGGACCTTAGAAGAACTATTTCGCTGTTCAGAAAGCAAAAGTCATCTCATGAAGTTTGAGCTATCGGTTAGCATGTTGGAGGTTTATAATGAGAAGATAAGGGACCTCTTGGTAGATAACTCAAACCAGCCCCCTAAAAAGTAGGTCTTCTATTATGTTGTTCGGTAGTAGAATGTAAATCGCCTTACAGTTTCTCTCTTTCTTTTTAAAAAAACAAAATAACAGTATGTTCTGTGTTGATAAAGGTTGGAGGTTAAGCAATCAGCAGAAGGGACACAAGAAGTCCCAGGATTAGTCGAAGCTCAAGTTTACAATACAGATGGAGTGTGGGATCTGCTCAAGAAAGGATATGCTGTTCGGTCTGTGGGTTCAACTGCTGCAAATGAGCAAAGCAGCCGCTCTCATTGGTAAGCAAACTAGAGTTTAGAAACTTAAACCATGTGAAACTAAACCTTTTCCATACTTATGCCAACAAGAGATTTCTTTTTGTTCAGCTTGCTGCGAGTGACCGTGAAGGGAGAGAATTTGATAAATGGTCAGAGAACGAGAAGTCATCTTTGGTTAGTGGACTTGGCTGGCAGTGAGCGAGTCGGAAAGGTAGAAGTTGAAGGAGAAAGGCTGAAAGAATCTCAATTTATCAATAAGTCGCTTTCGGCACTCGGTGATGTTATCGCTGCCCTTGCATCCAAAACCAGCCACATTCCTTACAGGTTTTTCCCTTCTCTCTTCTCCTTTGTCAAGACATTTGCATATGATATTTTCTGATTGATGTTCATGACACTTTTTTCCTTCCTTTTGGCCCAACTCCAGAAACTCAAAGCTCACCCATATGCTGCAAAACTCTTTAGGTAAAGTAACATTTGTCCTATTTTTTTCCGTTGTTTTGGGCACATGGTTCATAAGACATCTTGTTTTTCATCACCATGGTGTGTCTATTTCATTTTGACTTAAACAGGTGGAGATTGCAAGACATTAATGTTTGTCCAGATTAGTCCGAGTTCTGCCGATCTAGGAGAGACCCTTTGCTCCTTGAACTTTGCAAGTAGAGTCCGGGGAATCGAAAGTGGACCTGCCCGAAAACAGGCGGATGTGTCTGAACACCTCAAGTCAAAACAAATGGTAACGTGATTACTCAAACTCCAATTCATCTAAGCTTTAACATATCTTACGGTGATTATATTTCTTGTTGTCTCCTTTATAACAGGCCGAGAAGCTGAAACACGAGGAAAAGGAAACAAAAAAGCTCCAGGACAATGTGCAGTCACTACAGCTACGCCTCACTGCTAGAGAACACATATGCAGAGGACTTCAAGATAAGGTAGTCCGCTTTAACTAATGGTAGCTATATGTTATTGTTGACTGTTGTCTTCTTCTAACTTCTAACATTTAAAAACCAAATCATGTTTCAGGTTCGAGATCTGGAGTTTCAACTAGCAGAAGAAAGAAAGACCAGAATCAAGCAGGAGACACGAGCTCTAGCGACTACATCATCATCATCAACAACATCTAGACATCTGAGAGAGACACTACCGACAATCACAGAGAAAAAGCCGCCTTTGGCTCCAACAAGAATGCGAATGCCACTCAGAAGAATCACAAACTTCATGCCCCAACAACCATCTCAGGGCCCTTCTCAGAGATTCTCAGACACAACATTCAAAGAGAATAATAACAGCCTCAGAAGATCATCAATTATGGACGTGAAAACACTAATGAAACCAAGAAGAAGCTCCATCGCCTTCAGACCAGCTCCTGCTCCATCAGCCATTGCATCAGGTAATAAAACCATCATGCCCAGAAGGAGGGTCTCAATTGCAACGTTAAGACCAGAACCATCATCATTATCATCTATGACAACTCCATCACGCCCTCCTCCTTCATTCCGCGGTGACCCGAGAAAGGCGAGATACTCTAAGCTCTTCTCTCCAGACCACAATCTTGTGACTCCGAATGCAATGAAAAGCAGCAGATTTATGAAGAGTCCTCTTGGAGGAGGTGGCAGCTCATGGAAGCCAAGCCATCCCACAGTAATTGCATTGCAGAAGAAGTCGGTGGTGTGGAGTCCTCTTAAGTTCAAGAACAGAAGACCATCCCTCATGGCGATACGACCTTCTGCTTCTTCTTCTTCTTCCGCCTCTGACATGCTTCGGAGGGAACAATAGTGGCCTTCGTCACTGGATTTTTTTTTTCACTGTCTTTGTGAAAGTGTTTGGTTTTACATTCAAGTCGTCTGTTAAAACTTCAAAATAGGATTTCTGTTGCTTTTTTTCTTATCTTCAAACTGTTTTCGATTTGTTATTCCATTGAGATCTTGTGCTATGGTTATTATATATGTAATGAAATTTAGATCTCGGCTCAAATGCTTAGAAACAACAATAAAACAAGAGTGTCGAAACTGTTACTTGAAACATTTTCGACAATGGCGACAACAAATCGAAAACAATTTGAAGTTAAGAAGAAACCATAGCACAATATCTCTATCTATTAAACTAATTAAGATCATGGAATCTTTCTGAAAGTTGACAAATGTATGGAAGAACTACAAGAGCAACAATACACTGTAGCAGGAGGAACCAAAGTTGTCTTTAGTCCTAGAAGCACCAAAACTTACTTATGACTAGTCTTAGATGCAAGCAACCAACCATGAGATAAACTCATTAGCAAGAAAAAACACAAACTTTTTGTCCGGAATCGGATTAATCAAGAACGTTACTAATAGAAGATGTCCAGTTGGAAAGTTTCAGTTTCTTCTTAAGGTTCACGTCTCATTCTTTTTTCCTTGCTCCCCAAGCCTTATGAGCTTTCTTTATTTGTAGTATAAGTGTATAACTTCGTTGTCCAGCAACACTACTTGGAGTAGAGAGACAGTAAACGAAATCCTACGTAACCCACACACGTCACAAGAGACAATGTAGAAGCCATAGACCCAAAGAACAAATTCCATACTAAAACACATGAGAACAGAGTCAGATTCGCCATCTCTGCAAAGAGCTCGTTCTCATATCCACAGAAAATAGCAGAGAACAAAGGTGGGAAAATGGAAATCATAGTAATTTGGTTGTATATATCTTGGATTTGATAGAATTTAAATCCATATAGAAGAAGAGCACACATCTGAGTCCGAGATTTCTTTTTTGTTTTGTTTGTTCATTTGGTTTTAACGTGTTGCTGAGTAATTCGGAGAACAGAGCAAACAGGAACAAGATTACAACATCATCAATGAGACAAAGTTCTATTGTTATTGAAAAAATTCAACACAATGTCTATTGACTATGTTCTCTTTTATCTT